TCACCATTTCTTTTTTGTAGTGTTAGAAATAAAACTCAGGAAAATTGGAAAAAAAAATTCTTTTTGTTCTTGGGGTCTTGTGCTCTACCACTTGAACAACACTCAGCCCTTTCATTACTTTGGTTATTTTTTAGTTTTTTTTTCCAGGACAGGCCATGGACTGATCCTTCTTCCTATGGCCTCCTGTGTAGCTGGGATTAAGGCATAGCATAGTTTATTTTAGATTATAATGTGCATCACCATGTCAGTTTATTAGCCGAGACGGAGTCTCGCTAACTTTTTGACCAGGAACCGCAATCCTCCTGATCTCTTGCCTCTCAAGTAGTTGGGATTACAGAAATGTACCATGCCCAGCCCTAAAATTATTTCTTCAGTGATCATTAATGAAATATTCTAATTCTAGCTGGTGTACTGTGATTCAGCTCTGGCATTAGCCACCTGGAATCCAACAGACCCTACAAGTTAAATGCTTAGTCCACCACAAAATTGCCCTTATTTTATTTCTGTTTTTTTTTTGGGGGGGTTTGTTTTGCTTGCCCTTATTTTTTAGATACTGGTGCAATTTAGGGGTCTCCAGGCCATTTATACTTTTGGCCAACTAGCCACAAATTTTGGGGTTCTTACAACCTATTCAGGTTTGATAGTTCTCTAGAATGACTCAAAATTTAGAGAAACTCTGTACTTAACAATTATTATCATCAAGGATCCAGATAAGGACCAGCCAAATGAAGAGACATGAACAGGCAAAAGTATGAGAAGGTACTGAATGTACTGTGAGATTGGTTTGTGCTACTTACTGGTATGGCAGTGTGTTCACCAACCAGGAAGCTTCATTGAAATTTATGTTGGGTTTCATTACGTAGGCATGATTGATAGCTCAGTCTCCAGCTTCAGTCACAATCAATACTTAGTCTTTCTGGTAACCATTCTCTATTTTAAGCCATCTCTTTAGCACAAACTTAAGTGTGGTTCATGGGGCTCGTAAGTAGCACAGGTACTCCTTTTACTGGCAAAATTCTAAGAATTTTAGAAGCTGCAAACCAAGATCCTAGGACAAAGATGAAATTATTTATTTTTTTGTTTGTTTATTTATTTATTGTGATAATGGGGCTTGAACTCAGGGCATACACCTTGAGCCACTCACTCCACCAGTCCTTTTCTGTAATGGGTTTTTCAAGATAGGGTCTCCTGAACTAAATGCCCAGGCTGGCTTTGAACCCAATCCTCTTGATCTCTGCCTCCTGAGTAGCTAGGATTATAGATGTGAGTCACTGCCATGTGGCTCAAATTATTTATTATTAAAAAGATATTAAGGGGAAGGGGGGAGAAATGACCCAAATATTGTATGCACATATGAATAAAAGAAATTTAAAAAATGTAAAAAAAAAAAGATATTAAAAAACAAGAAACAGGACTGGTAGAGTGGCTCAAGTGGTAAGAATGCTTGCCTGTCAAACATGAGGCCCTGTGTTAAAACCCTAGTGCTGCAAAAAAACAAAAAAAAACAAGAAAAAAAATAACCTTACAAAATAAGAATTGACATAAAGGGAATGACCATTAAAAAGAGAGAGAAAGACAACAGAACTGAGTGATATTTATAGAAAAAAGATTGTATTGTTGTTTGAAGTAAAAGTAGGGAAGTTGGTTTGTTTATTAATAATCCACATAAAGTTTGGTAATTCCCTGTAGAAAATTTTGATAATTGGAAAAAGGTTTCTCTGTAGTCCATGGAGCTATTCCTACTTTCAGTTTTCTTTAGCATTTGTATTCTGAACAAGAGGTCTGAGGAGGAGAGACTGATAGATAAAAATGAAAGATGAAGAGTTGTGAGGCAGAGGCAGGAGAAGGTCAGCCTGCTGGGCTCTATAGAAAGGCCGTCTCGAAAAAAAAAAGAATTGAAGTTGTTTATAGTTTCTTAAGTTGTTCACTTAAAAAATTGCTAGTAAAAAGGAAAAGCAACATTTCAAGGTATGAGAAAGCAGTTTGGCAGGCCATGTCAGTGTCAGAATTTTACCAAAAAAGACAGAGAATGTGTTGAATCATCCATTTTCTTTCCAGGTTGTTCTGGAATTGATAGAGCTACGTGAATTGGGTGCTGCCAGGTCACTTCTGAGACAGACTGACCCCATGATCATGTTAAAACAAACACAACCAGAGCGGTATATTCATCTGGAGAACCTCTTGGCCAGGTCTTACTTTGATCCTCGTGAGGTATGACTGTGGTAATGAAAAGAAACTTATTAACTGTAAATATTCAGTAATGTGGTCTTTTTTTTTTTAAAGCCATTTTATTGGACACTTGTGATTTTGATTTAATTTTTGAGAATGGTGCTTTTCTTTTTATATATGTTAGCTAAAATTTGCTATGTTAAATAGTGTTTTCTGAGTATTTGAAGGTCTTTTCTCCTACACACACCCCCATTTTTGAGGATTGTGTGTTAGTTAGTAAAGAAGTTAGACCCAGGTGTGGTGGTGCTGTAATTCGAGCACTTGGGAGATTGAGACAGAAGGATGGAGAGTTTGAGGCCAGCCTGGGCTACGTAGCAAAACCCTATTTTCAGAAAAAAGAAAGAAATTTTATTCTGATGTCACCTTCACATTAGCTCACATCCTTACCTGTCTCTGAAGTGCTGCCGGATTGCTGGTATGAGAGCTTTTGTGTCCCTTCCCCTGACAATTGTAGTTTCTTTTTACCCCTTTCTGTCCCCAGAAGCTTGTGCTTTTGCTTGTGCTTACAAGTAGAGCATGGTGATTGATATTCTTTAATTCTTCCAAAATCTTAGTATTATGTATATACATGTACATATATATACATGTATGTATTTTTAAAAAGTAGTATGAACTGGGTAATGGAAGGTAAAATAAATTTACACCTGGGTTCTAGCTACTTGGGAAGCTGAGATCAGGAGGATTGTGGTTCTAGGCCATTCCCAGCAAATAGTTCATGGCATCCTGTTTCCAAAATACCAGAGCAAAATGGACTGGAGGTGTGGCTCAAGTAGTACAGCACCTGCAAGCTTGAAGCGTTGAGTTCAAACACAACCCCAGTCCCACCTAAATAAATAAGTAAGTAAGTAAGTAAGTTACAAAAACTGATGATGAAAGAAGTTTAGATTACCAGAACAGAATTTAAGTTAGAGGTGGTAAAGCACTTTTGGGCTGGGTGTCTTTGATTGAAAGACATTTCTAAAGAATATAAAAGTTGTTGCCTCTGCAAATTTTTTAGAATCTGAAAATACTTTTCTGGCTTTGATGTGGCTTACTTGGACTCTGCAGAAATAGCAGGGTGGTTGACTGACACTAGTTCTCTCTCAGCTTATACTTTTAAAATGCAAATGGGCAAAATTGGAAAAGTATTTTTCAAAACAAAATTGGTTTAATTAATCCTGTTTAACTGTGTAGTTTCCTTTCATCTTTTCCTCTGTGTCTTTTGCTTATTTGTTTGCATTAAATAAGCACACTCATACCTTGTTGCTTCTTAGAAATAATGCTACCTTTCTCTCCTTTTTCAGGCATATCCAGATGGAAGTAGCAAAGAGAAAAGAAGAGCTGCAATTGCCCAGGCCTTAGCTGGGGAAGTCAGTGTGGTACCTCCATCTCGCCTCATGGCATTGCTGGGGCAGGTAATTAAATGTCTGTAGAACCGAAATTACCCTGAAATATTTCCTATGTGTAAACTATAAATATTAGCTAAAGAAATTAGATACCCTACAAATTGGAGTCTACCGATGAAGCTGCTTGTACCAGCAGCTGTGCCATGTCACCTTTCCTCTTTCCTGGGAGAGACAATGCAGACTAGTGGTTATCTACATAAGCTATAGCATCAGTTAAAATGAGGATAGCCATAGAATTTATTATCATTCTGTCTGGGATATCTTGGAGAGTTCTCTTGATTACAATGCCAGGATACCAGGTGCAAATGGAACTGTCCTGGGGAAGTTGGAACAAATGTTGGTTACCCTAGGTAGAATCCATGCTGTCTTACCTATCAGCTATATGATCTTGGCAAGTTAACTTTTCTGATTATTCATTACAGTGTTGCACTAAAGATTAAGTGAGATAATCCTCATAAAGAGTATTAAGGCAACACATACTGCATGTGTTGCCTAGTACCTTATAAACAGTAGCTGCTGGTGATATGGGGGGTGTGTGTCTGTGTGTGTGTGTGTGTGTGTGTGTGTGTGTATGTGTGTGTGTGTTGCTGAGGTTTGATGAGGTTTGAACTTGGGGCCTACACCTTGAGCCACCTACCAGCCCTTTTTTGTGATGGGTATTTTTCTTTTTATTATTTTATTATTCATATGTGCATACAAGGCTTGGGTCATTTCTCCCCCCTGCCCCCACCCCCTACCTTACCACCCACTCTGTCCCCTCCCTTCCCCCCCACCCCCTCAATACCCAGCAGAAACTATTTTGCCCTTATTTCTAATTTTGTTGTAGAGAGAGTATAAGCAATAATAGGAA